CAAAGCCCAGGTCCCGGGTGCCAGTGCCAGCAGCAGGGGGAAGGAAGGCCTATTTTTGTACAAATTTCGTGCATCAGGCCTCTAGTATACTAGTATAATAAAAGCCTAATATGCTAAGTGTCTGGTCGTCCAGTCATCGTTCAACCAATCAAAGCATAATATGCTAATGACATGCTAAGACTGCTTAACCGCTCATTGTGACATGCATTGGCCACCAGGGGGCAGATGCTCCGACTGATAGGTTAGCTTGCTGCTGGGGTCAGGCCGATTGGAACTGAGCAAAACTGGCTAAACATGCCCTGGAGCCCTCCCGTGGCCCCTCCCCAGTTGGCCAACCTCTGTGTCCCTCCCCAGCCCTGATCATGGACCAGTGGGGTCCTTTGGCCTGGCCTGCACTGTCTTGCAATCCGGAAACCCCTAGGGGGGATGTTGGAGAGCTGGTTTCAGCCTGATCCTGCAGGCCAGGCTGAGGGACCCCACTGGTGCAAGAATTCATGCACTGGGCCTCTAGTAGTCAATGTTAGTACAGCTCCATTCACAGAGAAGCCTAACCATTAACCAGTGCATGTAGAATATCTACCAATATGCAAATGTATGTTTTAAATATATAAAGCTAGAGGTTGCTGAAAATTCAGTAAAAAGGGCAGGGTTTAAATATCTAGAGGAGCAAAAAGGGCCAAAGGAAGACTCTCTTTTTATGCCAGGGTTGGATTGAAAAGGCTTGAGAAGATTGCTTGCATTTTCCATGTATATGAGTCAACTCACAGTACTCATCTTTGGTCAGTTTCTTTTCTATAATGTGAAATAATCATAATAATTATCTGGTAGTCTTGTTGTACAGGTTAAATGAGTTAAAATTTATAAAGCACTTAGCACCATGCATGATATACCTGGTAAATACTATGTTAGCTTTGATTATTGTGATTTTTCTTGAAAATAGTATTAGAGTTTATGTTTGCAATATGATCTAAATAGTAGCTCTCAACCTTGAGCATGTATCAGAGTTGTCTGAAAGGCTTGTAAAACACAGATCATGTCCTGGCTGGTATGCTCAATGGTTAGAGCACTGGTTTGATTCCCCAGTCAAGGGCAGTACCTGGGTTGCAGGCTCCTCCCCAGCCCCTGTTTGGAGTGCATGTGGGAGGCAATGTTTCTCTCTCACACTTTCTGTCGCCCTCCTTCCTTCCATTCCACTCTCTCTAAAAAAAAAAAAAAATCAACGGAAAAAAATATCCTTGGGTGAGGATTAACAAAAAGCAAACAAACAAAACCGATCACTAGGCTCCACCCCCAGTGCTTCTGATTTAGTAGATCTGGAAAGGGTTGTGAAAATATGCATTTCTCACAAGTTCCCAGCTGGTGCTGTTAATGCTGGTCCTGGGACCACACTTTAAGAACCACTGGTCCAAAGAGTTGCTTAATGTATCTGATTGAGACACAGACCAAATATACCACATCAGGGTGAAGCAAGTGGAGATCTGAAGTAACTGTTTTTCTGGCATAGATACCGTATATAATATGTATATATGTATATATCATACACCGTGGGGCCTTGACTTACGAGTTTAATTCGTTCTGAGACCGAGCTTGTTAAGGAGCTCGTTAAGGAGCTCGTTAACTCAAATTACTCTATCAACTCAATGCAAAAAAATCGGCGGAGAGACAGCTGGTATCTCAAAAAACTCGTTAGTCGGGACATTCGTAAGTCAAGGCCCCACTGTAATACATAATATATACATATATTACATACAGAAGTGGGCAAAAGTAAGTTAATAATAATACAAGAATTAATAAATAATACATGAATAAACTGTTTTGTGTACTCACAACTGTAAACCTACTTTTGCCCAACCCTATATGTATGTGTGGGCGTGTGTGTGTGTGTGTGTGTGTGTGTGTGTGTGTGATTTGATTGACTAATTGTAAAGGAAGGAAGTGGATTTTACAATGAAAAGAAATTATGTAGCTTTGGGGAAATTGAGTCAATTTATTTAGAGGTGTATTTAATCTAAGCTATGTACTGTATAGGAGAGAAAACTGAAACCCAGAGAAGTGAAGCGACTAGCCCAAAGTTGCCCACCTGGAAGAATGTCATGCCTATATCAGACCTTAGGATTCTGCCTCCCAACCAAGTGTTCTTTCCAGCACTGTTTATTGGCAGTCTGTTTGAAGGAAAGAAACCACAGCCCCAGGGAGAAATGAAATCCATGTGGCATGTCTGAGAGTGGTGCTGTATGCTCACAAACACTCAGGACTCAGTGGGAAAACAGGAAAGGTCTTCCACATTTTCCTCATTATACGTATGCTATACATCACCGGGGAGAATTTTACATTGTATGTGTCTAGAGATCAGCCTCAGCAATCAGGTTAAAATGTAGGCCCTGTTTCTCTACACAGCCTCTACACAGTGTGTCCAGAACAACCCCTTTACACAGATGGAGGTGCTGATCAGCATGGATATGACTGTTCTTAACTCTTGTTCCATTTTACAATTTGATGACAACGGACACAGAAAATATAATGTGGTATCCTGGACTGACCAAACAGCTACCTCTGGATCTCACTCCGAAATGAAAAGACTTCTGCTTTTCAGTCAGTATCTTATCCTACACTCTTCCAAACCACTATGGGCATGAGAATTCTTCCTGGATTCTGGTCTCTTTTTTTAGAGTTGTCTCAGGTCTGGAGAAGTAGGGGGAACTATAGAGAAACTTAATGGCTCCTGTAGTCAAATGAAGTATACTGTTGGGAAGAACTGGCTTTTTCTAAGTAAGAGTCTCCATTAGTGTTCTGATTGTTTGGAGTCTGTGAAAATGGGCTCTGGATTTGGAAGAGGGTATGTGTAGTGAATAATTCACCTCACCTAAAGAGAAGTCTGGCCTTTGCCCTTAGACAGTGGGAGGTGATCTGTAGGCCCATAATGTTTCCTGCTTGATAGGAATGTCTTTGCTTTGGAGGCTTTGGCCACCCGACAGTCTAACAGTGGGGTTTATGATGGGGCTTTGAACCACACTGTATCAGTTCCAAATGTTAGGAACAGAAGACTAAAAGCATTAGTCTGATCTCTGGGAAGGGCTGGAGAGGAAAGATCAGTCATGTAGAACAGTGTGAGACTGAGCCCCAATAAAAACTCTAGATACCAAAGTCTCTGGTAAGCTTCCCTAGTTGACAATACTCTGCACATTGTCATACACTGTGGCTGGGAGGAGGTAATGCTGTCCGATTCCATAGAGAGAGGATGACTGGACACTATTTGGACCCCTCTTGGACGCTGCCTTATGCATCTCTTCCCTTTGCTGATTTTTAGTTGTATCTTTACCCTATAATAACGCTGTAATTGTAAATATAGCACCTGTGAATTATTCTAGGAAATTAGCCAATGTGAGGGTGGTCAGGCCTCCCAAATTATAGACAGCTGGTCTGAAGTGAGGGTAGTTCTGGGGACTCCTGAACTTGAGGCTCCTGTAGAAGTGAGGGCAGTCTTGTGGAGACTATTCCCACAGACTTTGCAGTTTGGCTAAACTCATTCTAGGTGATGGTGAATAAAAGGGTAATAAGAGGTGCAGTAAGAAGATTTGGGTATGATTCATAATGGAGAAGTCTATGAAACTGTTAAGTTTAGGGGTTTGTATTTTGGAAAGGTGAGTTTACAGAGGTCTTTCCTAGATAGGAGCTAAGAGATAAAAATCCTGGCAGGAAGAAAAATTAGACCTATTGCAGATCTGAATGAGAGTCCTAATAGTGACCTTAGGAAAGTTACTAAAGTTAGTCAAATGGAACTAAATATAAGAGTTAAAAGTGACGATATATGTGGAAAACATTTTAAAACTATAATGTGTAAATGTTCTTTTACCTGTTCAGAAAAATCTGAGAGTATCACAAACTGAGTTATACTTGGAGAAGTTAAGGCTTTCTTGATATTTGCCCCTTCAGAAATAATTATTCCCCTGAGTTTTTAAACTTGTCACATTTTATATTAAAAACTTTAACTTGACTTGCTGTTATTTTAAATATATTTTTCTATGTGTGCATCCCCAAGCAAGGGACTTTTATTTTATTAAGATATAATTGACATATAACATTATATTAGTTTCAGGTTTACACCATAAAGATTTGATATTTGTATATATTGTAAAATGATCACAATTGGTCACATTCATCAGCAGTTATAATTTTTTTCTTGTGATGAGAACTTTTAAGATTTACTCTCTTAGCAACTTTCAAATATTACAATACAATGTTATTTACTATAGTTACCAGGTTATATACATTACATCCCCAGGACTTATTAGCAAGGGACTTTTAGATCCCCCAAATTTGGGTGCTTAAGAAAAGCAGTTCACATATTTCAACTTCTCCCCCAAATTTCTTATTACTCCTGAAATGTGTTTGATTTGTATCGTCCCCAATCCCCTACATCATGGATTCAAATTTCTCAGAACAATACATTTTAAAATGGTGCCTCAGGGTGAGGTGGCTTTCACCGAAGTAAAGGTTCCGGGTGAGGTGCGCGGTCTGGGAGTTTTTACCAGAGACACCCAGAGGCGAACTAGGCTTATGAGCGAGGTCTGGGTTGGCGAGTTTGGGAGCTCTCCGGAGGCAATCTGGGGGCAGCGCTCCCAGTGGGTGGGTGCGAGTGGATCTGCGCCGCCGGGCTCGCTGGGCAGTGTGTTAGCTGGGCCGGGCCGGGCCAGGAGGGGCCCAGTTCCCACCTGGATTAAGATGGTTCCGATGGGGTCCTGGTTTTCAGTCTCCTGAGCCATGGCTAGGGCCGGGGAGGGCTGGAGAGCCCGGAAACATTGGTGGAGGGAGCTCGTTCCCTTGGCAACAGCACGCTCGGCCCGGCCTGTCCCACGCCGGGAGCGGAAGAGGGGGAGAGGGCGGAGTCAGGGCCGCCGGGCCAGTCCGAGAACGCGTCCTCCCAGTCG